CCCCCCCCGTTCACCCCGGTTCCCGTTCCTATTCCCGGTTCCCGTTGCCGTTCCTGTTCCGTTCCCGGTTCCCGCTGACCCCGCTCCCGTTCCCATTCCCGTTCCCGGTTCCCATTCCCATTCCCATCCCCGTTAACCCGGTTCCCGGTCACGTTCTCATTCCCATTCCCGGTTCCCGTTTCCCATTCCCGTTTCCCGTTAACCCCATCCCCGCTAACCCCGCTCCCGTTCCCATTCCCATTCCCATCCCCGTTAACCCCGGTTCCCGTCCCGTTCCCGTTCCCGGTTCCCATTAACCCTTTCCCTTCCCGCAGCTCTCTGGCTCCGCTCCCTCCTCCACCACTACTCCTCCTCCCGTTCCCATCCCCGTTAACCCCGGTTCCCGTCCCGTTCCCGTTCCCGGTTCCCATTAACCCTTTCCCTTCCCGCAGCTCTCTGGCTCCGCTCCCTCCTCCACCACTACTCCTCCTCCCGTTCCCATTCCCGGTTCCCGTTAACCCATTCCCGTTAACCCATCCCCGTTCCCATCCCCGTTCCCATTCCCGTTCCCGTTAACCCATCCCCGTTTCCCATCCCCATTCCCGGTTCCCATTCCCGGTTCCCGTTCCCATCCCCGTTTCCCATCCCCGTTTCCCATTCCCGGTTCCCGTTCCCATCCCCGTTTCCCATTCCCATTTCCCGTTTCCCATCCCCGTTTCCCGTTCCCCGTTTCCCGTTCCCATTCCCGGTTCCCATTAACCCTTTCCCGTCCCGCAGCTCTCTGGCTCCGCTCCCTCCTCCACGACTGCTCCTCCTCCCGTTCCCATCCCCATTTCCCGGTTCCCATCCCCGTTTCCAGTTCCCATTCCCGGTTCCCATTAACCCTTTCCCGTCCCGCAGCTCTCTGGCTCCGCGCTCTCCTCCTCCTCCCGTTCCCATCCCCGTTCCCGTTAACCCTTTCCCATCCCCGTTTCCCGTTCCCATTCCCATTAACCCTTTCCCGTCCCGCAGCTCTCTGGCTCCGCTCCCTCCTCCACGACTACTCCTCCTCCCGTTCCTGTTCCCATTCCCATTAACCCTTTCCCATCCCCGTTTCCCGTTCCCATTCCCAGTTCCCATTCCCGGTTCCCATTAACCCTTTCCCACCCGCAGCTCTCTGGCTCCGCTCCCTCCTCCACGACTACTCCTCCTCCCTGCAGGACGCCGCCTCCGCCGCCCGCCGCCGCCCCGCTCTCACCGCCGCCTCTCTGACCGCCCTGGCTCTCGCTACCGGCCTGGCACGCTCGGTACCGGACCGGAGCTCCCTGGAGGCGGCGGCGGTGGCGGCGGGGGCGGCTCTGGGGCAGCTCCCGCCGGGTTCCCGCAGCCCCCGCGCCGAGCGCCACGTCCAGCGCCTGCTGCGGCTCCGGGAGCGCGGCCGCCTCCGCGTCCGCTCCTTCGGCATCATCGCCGTGGCCGGTACCGACCCGCACGGCGAGGAGCCCGCCCTGTACCGGGCGCGCTGCCCGCACCTCCGGCGGCGCGGCGAGCTGCTGGATTTGGGGTTTTTGGGGCGCTGGTGGATGCTGGAGGCGGCGCTGCGGGACAGCGACATCAACGAGGAGGAGTTCGGGCACCTGGCGGAGCCGCTGCGCACGCTGCGCCCGCGGGAGCTGCGCTCGGAGCGCAACGAGCGCCTGCACCGGGAGGGGAGGAGGG